ATATAATTTGCTAAGCCCACTCAGAAGACTAATGGGCCTATAAGAGGGCAGATTTTTCTCATTATGCTTTTTGTGTTTTGGTACTATAATTGCTAGCCCTCAACCTTCGGGATATGATTTGTTTGATCAGGATGCAAACCTGGGCTAACTAGTGGGACTAGTCCTCCTCCAGGTCTCCACACTCCCTGTGTGGCATTGCCATATAAGCCATAATACAAAATCCATCCAACTCCAAGTTAAATGTAGCCCACGTTCCCTGCAAAAAAAAGGATTTCACATTTGGAGTGGAACATGATGCTAGCAGTGGGGAAGAAGGGAGGGAGAGTGGAGAGGTGCAACCAGAGGAGGCAGACAGAGTTTGCCATAGTGGGAGGGTGAAGCAGCAGCTGTACAAACTAGGGTGGAGGGAGGAAGTCTCCTCATCTCTCCAGGGCCCCAACTACAGATGGGAGATCAAGCAACCTGTTTTTTCTCCCTCTTAAGTGCAGAGAGATTTTACCCCTTGGTTATTTTCCAAAAGCAGCTAATCTTGATGCTTCAACGGTGTATTACTGGAATTAACATATTGCTTCCTTCAAAATAGATGGGTCGAAGACGCCACACGACATCCTTACATGCCTTTCATCATGCAAAGCCAGGGACATAAAATTCACATTTGGAGACAAAAAATATATCCGTGCGAATGGCAAATGCTGTGTCACGGACAACTGCAATAGTATTCCTGCAGGTATGTGGGGTCAGGCAAGGATTGCAGCTCATGTAATAACAATTCAGCAGGTCAGCTAACGCCTGGAAGCCCAATACTGGGGTGGCGTTGAGCACACTTGGAATATGGAGAATCTGTGGGATGCGTTCATAAAACAGCCTCAGTGCTTTGCCCATTTGGAGATCGGCTTCTGTGGTGTATGCGTCTAGTCATTGAACACCCTTTTATCAGAAGGCAAATTCACAATTATTCCTATTGACCCTTCAAGCTGCCACGTACTACGCAGGATTCTGGCTTGCTCTTTGCTTTTTCTTGCCTTCCAAACTAAGCCCCCGGCTGTGGTCATTCAGTATTTTTATTTTTCAAGAAGTAGGACCCAGAGGCATCCTTCTTAATGAAGAGGAAATAAAAGACACCCCCTGAGGTAGGGGGGGGAAAGGTTTGGGCTCTATTTAAGGGGTTAAAAATAAAAATCATATTTAAAAAGCTCAAGTGGGGCCAGGATTTTGGCAATCTGTAGGTATCGTATTGAAAACTTCAGGGCCTTGGTCCTGCAGTTTTGGTTACGAAGTCATGGCTGTCAGTTCTGTCAAGGAGCTTTTTCAGCCAGACTACCACATCATCACGTTTTCCTTTACTGAATGGG